ACTGGCTCATGAAAAAGCAGCTCTGTTATGGAGCAGTGTCAGCTCCATAGTGCCCATGACAGCTCATTAAACAGTGTGGCACCTGCTACCCATACACAGGAAACGTGAGCAAGGTATCTTGGCCCTCAAGCTTAAGAGGCAGGAATTCCTGGAGAATAAGAAAAAAACAAACCAACAAAATAAAAATGTAGAGGGATCTTTACCTCGTCTGACATCAAGAGACTTTGAGCAAAATTAAATGTGTGACTTGGTATTCTTTAAGTTGATAGATAGACATCATCTTCACACTGGAAGGCAATTAGTGTCATACATCACAAGTGTACCCAAAGTTCTCAGGTGAATGTGTTAGCACAGTAACATATTCCAAGCATGTACTCAGTTACACAGTTACATAGAAAGCTGTATAAAATTCTGATGAGCAAAAGGAAAGCAACCTACAGGCAGCCAGAGAAACTTCCCAAACCTTTCAGAAATTTGTCATTGTTGGGTCTTTGAAACTAGATCATTTTAAGATGTGAGATCTTTCAGTAGTTAGATCTCAAAAAACAGCTACTTTGGGTGTTCTGGAATTACAATTTTTAGGTCTTTAAACCTGTCCAAACTCACCTTTGTTTGCCTATTCACATCTGTCAGTGTATGCCCTTTCGATCCTTTTCACACCCTCCAGACAGACAAGATGATGTTTGAAGTGTGCCTGGTAGGAACTTACCTTTGTACTTCCTTACCTGCTCTCCAGATGGAAAAAACAGGAGGAATTCAAATCATGTAGTTTGAAGTATCTGGATCAAATAAAACTGTTCACTGCTGAAGATGTACTTGTCTGGGGACAGGAAAAACAACAGAGAAGCATTTCTTCACAGGTCTTCAAGTCCTTATTTATATATAGTGAAATAGTGCTTAAAGGTTTTCCAGTTCACAATGTAGAATAAAGGGCTTGTCCACATAGGAAAGTTTGGACAACAGTTACAACTCTGGGAAGAAAAGAGGACTATATGAGAAAGAAAATAGGAAGTAAGACTAATCTTGCCATATAAATGTTTTGGGCTTTTTTTTTTTTTTTAAAAAAGCATTTTTAACGAGATCCACAAGCTGAAACAAAACAGCCTAAAAACACCCCACGCAGTAAGCCCCCATTAGTTATCCATTAGAAATCATACCAGACAACCAATGTAGCAGTCATGAACATACAAGAGGTTTCTCTGGAAGACAGTTTGTAAAACACCACTTAGGTGTTCCAAAACATTTGTAACAGACTACCTGCAACATCTGAACATGTTACAAATGGTCTGAATGCTAAAACCCATGTTATTTGTTGTCCAGCTTTTAAAGATTAAAGCTTTTGGAGTTAATTTTCATCATAGCAGCCCACAGTGCTGTGTTTTGGGCTTGTGGCTGAACAGGGCTGATAACACACCAGTGTCTTGGCTAATGCTGAGCAGTGCAGTACAGCACAGAGGTTTCCTTTTTCATTGCCTCCTCATCTTTTTTCCCCCCCAACTCTGCCCAACGATGCAGTGACCAGTCTGGGGGTGGTCAAGAAGCTGGGAGGGGGCACAGTCAGGACAGATGCTCCCAACTGACCAAAGAGAAATTCCATGTGGGATCATGATCAGCAATAAAAGCTCAGCAGATATATATATAAATATTATATATTTATGTGTAATTATTATATAATTATGTATTATATTTTATAATATATATAAATAAAAGGAAAGGAGGAAGAAAGAGGGACACTTGGGGTTATGGTGTTTGTCTTCCTCTTCTAAATGCCTGCCTGCTGACAGGAAATAAATTCTTTATTTTTCTTGTGCACACAGTTTTGCTCCCCTATTAAACTGTCTTTATCTTGACCCATGATTTTTCTTGTTTTTTGTCCTTCTGATTCTCTCCATCCCACTAGGGGAAAAAGCATGAGCTCACGTGGGTGCCAACTCATCACAACAGCCTAGGTTACTTTAGCAGTCCAGTCAGACAACAGTAATTCATTCACAGAGGTGCTTAGCTTTCAGATACTCCAGTTTATTACAGACTTAAAACATAATATTAAAAAAAAGTACATTGCAAAGTTTTTACATCATGGAATGCCAATAGTTACAAAAGTTGAAATCATACCGTTGAAAATGCATGAAAGCTTGTAGGGAAAAATATGGGGAGAGAGAAGGAAAACTTGTGGGAAGATAGGTAAGGAAGAGAGAAAAATATGAAGTTGGTTTAAAAAAAAAAAATACACGACCCAAGACTTTTTTAATAGAAAATTTAATATCATTCTTTGAGTCAAACAATCCTGTCTAGAAACATGTTCATAAAGAAGTTAACTCCAGATTTTGAGCCTCTAAATAAGATCCCATGCCCCGGTTAACTTACATTAAGACAGCTTCTGTGTCCTACAAGTCATTCCCAAATTCCCCTTGACTTAGTGTTTATCATGCTTAAGTTGATAGATTGTTTGCTACACAGTTACAAGAACAACAGTTTACAATTCTGAAGTTACAAAAATAGTTATCACTCATTAGTATTTCTATACATATCTCAAGCTGTTATATGCACACTCTGTACAGTGGATGTTAATAGTGGTTAAGTTTGCTTCCTTAAACAAAATCAAAAAATAACTAAATCAACTGACAGGCAGACTCAAAATATTCAGACATCGCAACATACTTGCATGTCTGGTACCAAATATCCCTGCCCACACAAAGCAAAAGCAGTTTCAGTACCCAAGACACCTGTGCATCCAGGTGGTAAGACCCTTATGATGGTTGGTGGGAGGGGACAGAGAGCAAGGATCAGCCTGTTACCCTGCAGGACCCAACACCACCTTCAGTTGTACAGATTCCTTTCAGACAACTGCTCCTGTCCAACAGGCCTGACTTCAGGCTGAAAAGCAGGCTTACATGACAAAAGCTGCAGGGCAGCAGAACAAACTACCCTGCTGGTTATGACCAGAATTGCCCAGCTAAAGGTAAAATATGAAGGTGACTGACTTCTCAAGTAGACAACACTGGATGTTTTTACCATACCCAAAATAGTTTTCAACGGGTTTTGGTTGGGTTATATTCCTCCCCTTGCCCCTGAAGCAAAAAAAAAAAAAAAAAAAAAAATTTTTTTGGTATGATCAGAGCCAACACTAACAAATTTTTTACTGGTTACAGTAGTCCACTATTGAAGTACATTGGTTGGACTCACATAACTTATCCTTCCCTTTTGGAAGTAATAGTAAGCCTGGAAGCATTGCTAGGGTTGTGGCGTTTTGTTAGACAGGCAAGTAAAAAATTTAGTTCTTAGAGGTATTACTGCTAGTCTTACTTATCTCAAAGTCCAGTCCAACTGATGTTAAGCTTCACACAGCTGCCTAACTCTGAAACAAGTCACCCATTTCAGAAGATACTGTCTGGAAACAGATTAGTGTCCCACTACAGATTTGGGGGGGTGGGAAGAAAAGCAAAACCACAACTAACCACCCTATCACCAACAAAAAAAAAGAAAAGGAAGCCTTAAATAATGATAGGAAATAACACTTTTTAACACTTTCTGAATCTAGGAATCTTTCACATACTACTCTAAGTACTATCCTTCCCATCATGAGGGCACAACACTTCAGTCAGATGGTTGAAGACCTTAACAGTTCAATCCAAACACTTAGAGATTCAGTGCTTAACTGGATAGCTTTATATACCACATGCTAAAAAGCCCAGAGTCATGTTTGCAATGCACTACTATGAAAAAATTTATTCACTTGCAGAACTTCAAGGATGATTTGGAACAAAGTCAACTAAGGCATGTACTTAAGTCTGCCAACGTAAGGCTGCAAAATATAAACACTACCATTTCAGTACCAAGGTCATGCACACATCAGAAGTGCATTAAGAACTTCAAAGCTATACCACACAGGAAAAAGATAGTTTTGCTTGTCTTCACAAAAGATTAAGAATTAAGCAACTACTTCCTAAATATCAAGATGAGTAAATAAATTATGAATGAGATTCCACAGGCTTTTTCCCACATCAGGAATTCAAAAGCATCAGGTACTACATCTTTTACTAAGAGTGCTTCCCTTATTTGATGGTTAGATCTTTGAGTTTGTTTGGTGGCTTTGTTAATTTATTTATTTTCAAAGAATCACATTTAGAATGTAAAATAATTTTGTTCTCCAGGTCAGAATGTGCAAATAGCCAATATTTTTACACATTTAGGTGTTCCATGTTTATTTACCTTGTTATAATTTTGAATTTTTACAGTTACTATATACAGAATACATTGTTATGTTTTTCAATTGTGCCATTACAGTGCAACATCTGGACTGCTGTTTTAAGAAATAACTAACAGAGCTTCCATTTTAAAGTGCAACATGTTTTGGTACAGGAATTGCTACAATGAATTCAAGTGAAAAGAATTAAATAAACCCCTTGAAAGACAACACTACAACACCAGTATATATGTATTTGATAGTATTCAAAGATTATGGGGAAGTTACAAATGAAATATGAATCACTTCAAAAGAAGTCCTTCAGAAACCATCTTACACACAGGAAAACAAACCAGAAAAAAAAATTACAATTCTTCAAGCTGAATCTGTACTTACTGATTTACAGTGAACTGAAAGGCTTGCCTTTTTTATTTTAAAATCAAGATAAAAAAATAAATGTGAAATAATCACAGGTCTGTCACTTGGATCTAGTCTCATAGCTTGTTTACAAAGTTATACAAGTTAATACTGACTTCCCTTGCTCCCTTAGCACATTTCCAAGCTCAGCCAGAGAAATCAAGTCTAAGTTAAGTATTCAAACAGATGCTTATCTGACTTTATATTAAAAATTAAAATTAGTAGTTAAATTCAAGTACTTGTTTTGCTTGGTTAGTAATGTGCTGACAGTTTTGCATGGACATACTAGCACATGCAGAAGCCTTAAGCCTTTGACTCTCCCGTAACACTGACTTAATGTGAGGATTCATCAATAGGGTCTTTACTCCACCCTTTTTTTTTTAATGACAACTCTTCATCATTCCATAAATCTACTGTAATTTGATGGTGTTAAAGTTTACGTCTGTTAGATATCCCAGATGACAGACACTAAGACTTGTATCTTCCTCCTTTTACCACATACATGGACAGAATAATTCCACTCATATGAATTATTTTAAATTAGACAGTTGCATTTCATGCAACATAAGATCCACACATTTAAGTATGTATTTTGCTCAACATGCCTGCCGAACTTTCAAAGGTCAGTTTGAGTCTTAACACTGTGTAACAGTGTAACCTCCCGCTTCCCTGCTTGTTCAAGCAGCTTTTGTTACTGTCACTGAGTAATTTTATCATTGTGCCATTCCAGTTATTTTAGATTACCTTTTATCCTTTGAAGAAAAATTTGTTTAAATTGATATAGTATCTGCCGCCTAGAGCTGTTTTCATTTTCTACTTTAAAACAAAGGGACAACAAGCCTCAAACAAAACCAACACTCCAGGTGCAAATACTTTGGCCTAGAAGAAAAAACTGGTATCACTTGCTGGCTGACTTCAGATCTGACATTATTTAAACCAGAATTCTCTCCCTACTCTCCAATATAAACAGATCTTTCTACAACAGATAACACAGAAAAGTTTAACCCTCTGCTTCTAGCCAGCTACCCACTCTGGTCTTCAGTTATCACTGGTATCTTTTCAGACTACCTGGTAAGCTTCTGCATGCATTTTAGCAGCCACAGGACTGTGCCTCATCTATGCTCTAGGAAGATTAGTCAGTTGTGAACTAGTTTCCCCTGTGTTGTAAGTTGTAATAAAGAATGCTTACTTTTAAGTGCCCAGATCCAAGAATGATTTTCAGAATGTAACTACAGTAAGTCAGAACTGAGTATTCCAGTTCCAGAAGTTCTCCAAAGCTAAAAGCTGACATATTCATCTTATCAACAATTCCTAAACAGTTCAGGTTCCAAAATTTTTCACAGACATTCAGAATAAGTGCTCATAGCAATTCAAGCACAGGAAGGCTTTTTTGTATGGTCACTTAATTTCTTTTAAATCTGTCTTGTATCATCAATATTCTTTCCCCCACTCACCTAATTAGGTCCACCTAAAAAAGGCCAATAAAGGAAAGAGCAATATAGACATGTACCTTCACCGAAGTAATGGAACATAAGAGATTGTTAATTGAAGAAGTTACTCAGCAGCCTTTTTCCATAGTGTTTATTGCTAATTCCTTTTTATAGCTTATTTCCAGGAGATGAGCAGCATAAAAACTGCAAAATCTATTTAAAAAGATATTCATTACAATGCAACAGTCTCAATAGTACCTTCTTACAGCTGCATCTTACTTAATTCAGAAATAAAACAATCCTGATCTAGTTAATAAAAAAGTTTAGTACCTAACCCTTAGAACAGTTGGTCTTCAGAAGTCAAGCAAATTTGGACACAGAATTTAAAATCACCACATTTGATAATATCCCCGGAATTTCTCACTGTGCAAAATATCCTACTGAAACTATTTAATAGCTTTGTAACAAGCCAAGTCTCACTATTACATCAGCATTTACCCTTACAGCAAGAGTTGCTTTATTCTTCCTTACACAACTTTGATGTGAACTGAGTGCTGTGAAGATTCAGATAACTACTGCGTTGCTTACCGAGCCTGCGTGCTAAATATGCACACCCCAACATATTAACACTTACAAGTAGCTTAGATACACAGTACATTAAACTAATAAAAATGATGAAAATTGACATCAAGCTGCCCAAACCCATGCTCAGTTTCCCACCTAGTTCCAACCGCACAATCTCGATTTTAACAGCTGTCTTCAAAAGTTTACTAAAAACAAAGCAGGAAGATACCATCAAAGTCTTCACCCATTCATTTGCTACAGTCTTGAATTCTGCCTTTGTCAGTAATGATTCTGGGGGGTTGTTTTTTGTTTTAAGTTCAACTTTAAAACTAACAACATACATTCACCTTGTAACATCCCAGAGGTAGCAGGAGGGAATATGAATGAAAGATGCCAGATTCTAGAAGTTGCACATTCAAGTATAGTGTCATTCAAGAGAGCTTTCCTGGCTTTCACAGACTGCAAGTCACCTCTAATCATGTATAGTAAACAAAAAAAGTAGAATCCCAAAATAAAGAACTACTGCCACTGGATTACTAATAGAAGTTTTACACTCAGATACCTCAAAATAATGTTGTTACTTAAGTAGTAATACTGCCAGTTTCAATAGTCAAATGTCAAGAACTGAAGTATAAACTTAAAATTTGAGTACCAATTTTTCTAAAATGCTCATTAGTGACACATTTCACCTAAACACAGACATACACACAATTACTCTAAGTTGATGTACCACACTGTAAGGTAAGGTCCTGATTCAGTTCAAGAATCTGATATTCCCCCTCTCCCTCCCACCACACAACTTGACAGAAGTGTTTACAGTAATAGAAAGCAAACAGAAGGGGAAAACACAACATTTAACAAGTGCATCTATATACATTTTGCACCTTTTCCCTCTTTGCATCTAAAGTGAACAGGTCACCATGTTTGCTATGCTTTACATGCACATACTTCCCCCTTCACATAGTACCAGTCCTATTCAAAGGATCTGTGCAAGCATCAACAGCAGTCATTCCACACTAACCAACAGGTGCTTTTATTGCGGAGGCTGAAGTACATTTAAATATTCCGACTGGCCCAGCTGGTAGGTTGTGTTTCCTCCACAGTCCACATACTGGTATCTCTCCTGGGATATTTGCTCTGAGTGGCCAAAGTAAGACGTTGTCACTGTCACTCTTAAAAAAGACAAAACAGGAGATATTTGTTTTGTAAGAGGCCTGAGTTTCCTACTCTAAAGGTCAGTGTTTTTAAGTTACTAGGGTTTTTAATGGAAAAAAGTTGGAACAAAATAAGTTCTAAATGAAGTTAAAAACAATACTAATTTACCACTATAGATTTTCTCCAAGAAATACATTTGGTTCCCTGACCACAGACTTGTTTTCTAAAAAAGATGGTAAAGCTGAGGCCTACTCATCAATACCTTGCTTTGCGAGGAGAAAGTAAGTGATTAGAGAAGGTACAGCCATGGTTGGTGTACAACTCTGACCCTGCCTCCAAGATCCCCTCATGCTGCTATTTATGCAATCAGTCCTGAAAAGTGGACTTGAGCAGAGTACTGAAACCTGTAACTGCTTCAAGGTCACTCAGACCTCGGCAATTTTTGAACAGTAGCTGATACACAAACTCATTTCAAAATAACTGAGACCTTAGTAGCTCCCTGGCTGCAGTCCAACTGCAGAGCAAATACAGTAATAACAGTTCTACCTCTTCAAGTGTCTTTACACCACCAGAACCTGTCAAAATACGCAGTCTATTTTCAAAAATTATGAAGCTCCTACACTAGAAAGTAAGTTGATTTCATTTTATCTATGATGCACAGACTCCAGGATTAAGTATTTCTGAGTAATATTTCAATGAGAATTACATGGCTTTTAAACTTATTTCTGACAAAAGGGAAGTTTCCATACTTACTGCATCATCACTACTATGTTATGCACTTTGATAGATGCTAAAGTACAGAAGTCACTGAAAAAAAGAGAAACAGTTGTTAGATTTGCATCAAGCTGTTACAGGTAGTTATATAAAAAGCAAGAATTGCGGCTTCAACTGGAAATTCTGCTATCTGTATATATAAAGACTATAGAGTTGCTAGCAATGGCAACTAAAACATTTCTTGAAAGCCACCACCAGTGACTGTATACTCATCCTAGGTCTACTTTTATATATATTGTCTCACTTTCACGTGAACTATATTCACATGTGCTTGCTTAAATATAATGCTTGCCAACAAGTGTCCTGTGAAATAGTGTTCACTCCATCTTTCAGAAGCAAATCAAAGCAAATTATGTCTATATGAAGACATAATAGACATAATGCATATAGACATATGAAGCATATAGACATAATTTGCTGCAATTTCACTTCACAAGAAATTTATCCATAGAAAGGAAAATTTACAACAAAAGATCAAGGTTATTCCAACTTCAGCATCTTTTCATGTAAAAGCAGCAATTTCTATAAAGAAAATGTCTTGAAGGCTTGCTATTCTTGCTCAAAGTATCAAGAACTTTGGAAAGTCCCATTTTTTTTTGTACTCATCTAATTCCGTATTATGCAAATTAACCTTTAACCAATCTGCAGAGATTCTGAAGTCAGTTATTGTTCTCTTGCAAGATACCCTTTCCAAACTTGTATCTTCTGACATGTACCTACATACCAGTTATACAGAGCACTAAGTGTATACTTTTTCCTACCCCTCCTTCAATCAATTGCTCTCGGTCACAAATTTACCAGCTCTGGAATAAAGGCATATAATCAGTGCAGTAAGTTTGTGTGGCAGCCACCCACAATATTTGCATGCCATTGTAATTCTTTTCCCCAGCACCAAACAACATATGCTGAAGTATTAAACCGTGAATGAACACAGGTGATCCAAGTCGTATGAAAATACAAATAAAACAGTTCAGTTTTAAAAGTGCTTTATACTGGTATCTGTAGTAATGACCAATGTTTTTATTTTTTTCCTGCTAAACTTAAACCAGGATTTACTTAGACCATAATGCCAGATATTCTTAGTTACTGTAGTTCTCTAATCCAAAAATATAGATAACCTGTAACATAACAAAGCCAGCTCATATCCAAGAGCACATACTGGCTGTCAAGCCAAGAGGTACAATACCAACATTCTGGGGTTTTTTAAAGTCCAGATTATCTGCAGATGAATGTTTTAAAAAAACAAAATACACAAACCAAAGAAAAAAAAAAAATAACCAAAACCCAAACATACCACACAGTAGCTAGGAAACTACACTGAAGTTGAGCTCCACATTGAGCCAGCTCTCTAAAATAAATGAGTGGAAATGCCCTGTATGATGATGATGATTTCATCATACAGGTCTGCTGAATCCAGATGGTTGTATGCAGTCACTTCAGGTCTCCAAGATCTCATGTATTCAACCTAAGCTGATTTTACAGTACACATGTTCTCCAGGATCCAAACAACTAGCTAGTTACGTCCAACACAAGACCTAAATTGACTAGCTGGGGAAACACCCAAATGTGATTCACTGTACAACCCCCAACGCTGTAGGCCACAACACTATCTGTTACAAAGCTTATCCCAGGGCCTTCTCTGGAAAGTTAAATGTTTGTGTGGAAAAAAAACCCAAACACAGTAACAAATATAAAACCCCAGTAAGATCAGCTGAAGCTATGTTAGCTGGGTGTTCAAACTCAGGAAGATCACTTGCCGTCTCCAGGGTTGCTCTATAACATGAACCCAGGCTTTCAAGACTCACAATACAGTGAAAGAGCAGAAACTCCATCAACAACAGTAACTGTCAACACATCAGTGAGGCTGACTAACACCAACTGTGTAACACACAAAATCTGGAGAAAATGAACAGCCATAGTTTTGCATGTGGCTCAAATTCTGTTTAGTACATTTTAAACCGACCACAACAAAGCTAGTGAGTGCTACTCACAAGCACTAGGACTTTGCTGTATCAGCCTGTACAAGAACTTAGATTCTTAACAGATACAAACTTCTATACTTGTGGGTCTCTTATTGCCAGTTATAGCCCACGGTTAGATTTACTGTGCTGAAGCACCAAATATTTTCACATGTGCACAAATCACCTGTTAGTCTGCTCTTCTAGCAACGTTCAAAAACACTTGCTGTCCTGAAGGAGGGCAAGTCCACATGACAGTTTCTCTGCCTCTACCCCAAGACTGCACAATCTACGTCCGAGCTGGACCAGTGAATGCATCATTGTTCCACACTACTGCCAAGGCAGTCGCTATCAGGCAGAAAAGCCTGAAATACATCCAGGTCAGGCCACAGGCAGAGCAGCTTTTGCTTGTCCACATCTCTATACATCCGAAGTCATCCAGGTTTTTCTAAGGTTAGTCACCAACTTGCAGGCAAATTAGCCTATAATTTGTATAGAATTAAATACAAATTCCCTCTACCGCCATAGAAATTTGTCGGAAAACTACTGAAGAATGTTAAGAGAACACACCTGCACTTTCAACACCACAAAGCAGCAGCTCCTATCTCTTTCCAAGGCCTAAAACACTGGGGTAGAGATACCATCCAAAGTGCTGAGAGCCAGCTACAGCAAGCCAGTGTATGAAACTATTGAAACAATCATGGTTTAACTATTTTTCAGTACTATTAAATTCACACAAAGAAATGCCACAACATCTCTGCAAACACATTTCTGCTGACTTTGAAAAAAAGTAATTTCTAGCACCATTGTAATTTTTAATAAGACCCATGTGATATTTAGAGGCGAGTACACTTACAACATGTAGCTCATTTCATCTTGTATGACTGTGGGCACCATATAGTCAATCTAATAAAAAAATAAAAAACAAACAATGAAAGCACAAATTAGTGTTTATATTTATGAAGATCAAAATGTATTCAACTTTGAAAGCCCATGCTATTTACCTGCTTCATATCCAGAGGACCAATGTTGGTGATGTTGTTTAGCCGTGCTTTGCCAATAACTGTTTTCGAAAACTGAACTTGCGCTGTGATATTTGCTACTTCAACAGAATAATAGTTGTTGTTTGTTATATTTAGTGTGTTCTGAAAGAAACAAAAATAAACCAACACACATAAAACATTAACAGCTATCCATTCTGTGTATCTTGATGAGCACACATTCTGAAATTTGTACCAAAGACAGTAATACCTGAAATTATGCAAATATACATTTTCCTGCCTTCTAGGATTGGGGGTGGGAGGGAGGGAAGGGGGTGGTAAGGGATCATCACTTAACCCCTTTCTCACATTTTTTTCTGAATATATTGAGCAGCACAAACTTCTGCACAATTTCCCTGGTGACTGCCCTCCACTGCAAATCCTGCATTTTAGCTATCAATGGATCCTTTCCTCCCACAGCTGCTTTGCTTTATTTAAAAAGAGAAACTCCACCAAAAGTCTTTTAGGTAATCCTATGTTGACCACATTACCAAGAAGTCAAAAAGCATGTGGAAAGAACTCCTTTAAGTTTTATGGTGGATAAGACATCATTTTTCCTCAAAACCAATTTTGATAGGTGCATGATACCAGGGCAGCATTTAATAACATTCCTACATACATACACTACATTTCACTCATATTCCGAAAATAATGCAAATAACTCCAAAGTCACTGTTACTCTGAAAACAGAAGACCCAATGGTAGCTTGCAACTATACCTCTATTAGCTATAGATACAGGAACCTGCCACAGCAGGTCCAGTTACATTTTCCAAACTGGCCACTGTATCTGCTTGTATTTCTTAAGGCACTAAGCTTCCCAGACCGACCACAATTTCTATGTATATGAAACTGTCACAGTATTATCTCTGGTTGCGGTTATCTATTACAAACATGCAAACAAGTAGCTAGACTTACCGTAATATTTAGATATATTATATGTCTACCCTGTTCATAAGTGACATATACTGACTTCACACCAATGTATTCAACATCAATTGAGCGAGGAAACAAGAAGAATACAGCCAGCCCAGAAAGTAGTAAACATACAATTACAGAAGCAGTCACATAGAGCTTTCTGGAGAAAAAAAAAGAGCACATTTCAGAGTCAAAAGCATGTTAAACAATGGTGGCATGTTATTTCCTTTAAAGTGATAAGAACCATGACTAGTAAATACATCTAGTTCAGTCTATTTCTGGCTTTCATTAGCTTCCAAAGGGGCAAAAAAAATAATCTATGCTGCACTTCACGTCTACATCTCAGAGATGTTACTCTTGTATATACATCAGAAATCAAGTTTCAAAACATGGTTATCCTGACATTTGTAACTTAAAGAGGAAAATGTAAGAGGTAAATATCTATGTGCTTTGAAACACAAGCACTTCCTCTTAAAATTTATTTATAGCAGAACTTTTGTCATTCTGCAGGACTCTTGCACAACACATGCAGGAAAAAAAATAAAGCTCTTACATGCCTTACACAGGATTCTCTGTCATAAAAGACTTTCAGGGAAAGTGTTAGACTCATGCGAAGGAACAAGAAATTCACAATTACCATAATATAAAAGGCGGTGTGTATGATGATAAAAAATGCACAAATAAAAGGCTCTACTGCACCTCCAATTTTCTCAGAAATAAAACACTGAAGTAGTTATGTTCTAATGTATGCTTCAAATGTTTCTAGAATGTTTCAAGTTTATACTATTATTACATCAGATATATGATCCAGGATAGCATTATGTGAAGTTACTGTGTTTTTTTCCTGGCACTCATTTTTGTTTACTACAGAAACATCCGGACATTAAGGAAAAAACAGAACCAAAATGTATGAGAACAATAAAAACCCCAAGCACTGTAATTAAATCTTTAAGTAGATTCTAGAAAAGAAAAATTGAATATGCTATATCAGAATGACAAGCTCATCTATTTTGCCATCTGCTCAGAGCTTAATAAATTATTTTCTTAGTGACTTATTTTGGACTAGTGGCTCAAAGACTTAGTTATCACTTTACTCAGACTTTAACACTGAAAATGTATTTGCTTAGATCAATTAAGATGTTAGAGATTAATAAATACTTGCATTCTGTAGGCATTCAGGTAAATATGTACATGAAGTGATCATACAGTATTACTTAGCTTTGGAAGACATGCTGTGATGAGGAGTATGCACACCTGTTAATAAATAACTCTCCAAGAATTAGAGGTTAAGGCCGATATTACTCATGATCAGGGTTCTTTCAATACTGAATGCAAGAAAACATTCCAGTGATTTTTGCTTGATTCTTCTTAACACTATCTCCTTTAAATTGATGGATATAAACTAGAAGAGAAGATTTAACTGTAGATTCATATATCACAATTAACTAATAACTTACGTTCTTCTTGGCCTCAGTCTCTGATCACTGTATGGAATTAATGCTACCAGCTGATTTTCCTGCCCTGGAAACAAAAACACCATTTCAGAATTTAAACAAACAAAGAATAAGTGTTGTTGCAGTTACTTCAAACAAAGAGTGCCCATTATAACTTAAAGGCACCAAAAAATAAACACTAAGGATAAATATTTAAATTTCAGATAACAACCCAAGTAGAATACTACTGTAGCTTATGTCACTTTCTGAAATAGAGCATGGCTTACACAACATGGAGAGGAAAAAACACCAAGCCCAGAAAGACCAAAACAGCAACAAATTCTGCCTCTGTGCTGTATACACACACAGGAGATGGCGTGCCTCTGGCACCATTTCCTTGAGAGAGAGAGGTACAAAACAGCTTCCAGCTCTCTATACCACACTATATAAAGTCATAGGACAAAACATTCAGAAGCTCAGGCAGTAAGAACTGACCCAGAAGACATTCTGCATGTACTCTTCTGAAAAGCAGAAGTCCGGTTTGTTTAAAGAAAAAAAAAAAAAAAAAACACATATCAGTTTGGGTGGCTCTGGCAACACAAGTTATACATAGACTGCCATCTGGGAGTCACTGGTATATGCAACCACTTCTCACTGGAGTGTGCTGCAGCACCCTGGAAGTCAAAGAAGTATCTACTGGAATTTCTCCAAGCAAAAAGTTACTTCACTAGACAGCATTTTTAAAAGGGGGCATCTTAGCAGTAGAAATCAAGAACACAAGCACAGATGAGTTGTTGAAAATAGATGTATTACATCTGCCTGCATAGCTTTTGCTATCTGCTTTACAAGAAAACGGAATCATGATTCATCCATACAAGAACAGAGAGGCCTCAAGACCAAGTCAAATTTTAATTTAAGCTAAATGTAGAATTTGACCAGCATTATCACTTAGTTAATCAACCACTTCAAAGTGATTCCATGCTGAATCACTAAGTTGAGCAAAGCATGCTAAGCAGGTTGTAGTACATAACATCAACCTTCTAGAAAACCTCTACCAACTTGAAAGATTCTCATCTCAGCTTCAATAAAACATCTCCAACCTTCAAACAAAACAGCACAGACCTACTTTCATACTTTATCATACTGAAAACCTAAAGCTGTCCAAGTAACAAAACACAATTTCTTGTGTTTATTATAGTTTAGCCATCATAACATGTGTTAGTCTTCCCTATTAATCAGAAAGTCATTCTGTGAACAGTTAATTTTTCGACCTCTCCCCTCAAAAAAACCCAAATGATTTTTTTTTTCTAAAGTACTGAAGAAAGTTAAAAAGACAGCCATTTTTGTCCTAATAACTAATTTAAAGTTCTAACTTTAATCACACTATTTCATCAGAACGTATGGACAACATGCATTATTAATAGTTACTGCAAAATGTTTAATAACTGAGTTAACTCACATTTGTTTAAGTATTACATCCATGAATTCTACAGTCAAAGCTTTTGAACACAAGAATCCCACTATATACTGCATTTTAGCTAGCACTATTTTGATTAAAACTTGCTATTGCTATTATCAAGTGTTAGCAAGCTAACAAAACAAACTTCTCTATAGTCTTTCAGTTCCCACACTTCAAATTTGCTGAAATCAGAGCTACTCAAAGAATACACTGTAGTATAAAGTTTAACAGCTAAAACACAGATCTCTTATGACATTTGCAGCTGCTTACTTATCCTGTGCCCCCAGTCACTTATTCACAGGTGAGACTGAAGTATTTGTGAACTATACCAAAACCTCATCTGACTGAAGCACACAAACAAGGACAACACAGCTCAGACATCAGTCAATTTTCCTGAGCTGCTCAAAGTCAGTTCTGAGAGCTTTTACACACAATAAACTGTTTTGGATAAGAGTTCTGGCAAAAGCAAAACAGTCCCAAACATGAATCCTTCTCATCAGTTCCTCCCCCTATGTCAAAGGGAAGAGTTGAAGCACAGGGCTGTGCCTTGGCACAGTGCATTTGCCACTCTCTCTTTTTGCCCAGTTCCAGGTATCCTGCATTCTCCTTGCATAGATCTCTTCCTAAATAGTTATTCAGGTGACATATCACATAGGAGAGAAATGTAATAAATCAGAATGTTTTATTAAAGGGAAAAGCAAAGGATGAGGGCAGCAAGCAAACAAAACGGTTAGGCATGAAGACTAATACTGTGAATGTACCCCTTCCTGGGGCAACCAGAGATCCTGTGTGTTTTCAACTCCCAGCTGGGGCCCTCTGCCTAGCAGAGAGAGGTGGGACAAAGGGAGAATAAAGGAAATCGAGGGGCACTAGCAGCATGGAGGGCATGATCAAGGAAAACGTGTCATAGCACAGGTCTACTTTTCACTCAGTATTTGCAGGGTTATATATTGATTCAACGAGTGTAAAATAGTTTATTCCATTTAAAAAATGGAATAAAATGTCACAAAAATAAAGGTTTACAAATTCAACTTGAGAGAGCTAAGGTTATGTGTGAATTTAAAGCTGAGAAGCAAGAAAAACTGGCATTGTACAGACAACAGGAAACCCAACAGGTAACAGCCAAAGTTGATTCAATTTATCTCATTCATCCAGCATAAATGGAACAAAATGCTTAGTGCTAAAAAGTTAGAAAGATGAAAAAACTTAAGCTTGTCTAGGAGAGCTCTTTTTACAGATCATTATAGTTACAACTGCACGTGGTTATGAGGTAAATTTAGAAGTTGAAAAAAGAAATAAACTTACCTCGTGGAATCCTTCCTGTTCCCTGGCAAGTCGGGCAGGTGACACTGTCCCTTCCTGTAAATTCCACGTAGGGAAACTGCGATACATCTCCACATCTGCTGTCATCGTTGTGCGACTCCGAGTGAACCAACCTGTTCCTCATATTATCAGACACTGTGTTGCCATCATAGCCGTCTTCCTTGCATGCATGCATAGGCAAGTGAGAAAGTGATTTTCCCATGCCTAAAATAAAAGTCAGAAGAAAGTTTTGAGGGAGAACAATTCAAACATGGCTTGTACTTACTCCTCTGAATCAGGTAACTGTTAGTCTGTGGCCATTACTCCCATAGGAGTCCTGTTGAACCTCTGTTCAGATCCCTTAAGACCTGCGAAGCGCTAAGGCCCTGTCAATCTGGTACCAACCCCAAGCTCTAGGAACCTGAACTGGGAGCATTGTTCAGATCCTCCCATATGCTCAGCTTGAACAGGGGATCGATGACAGGCTTTTAAGTTAGAACAGTAAAATTCCTGGCAAAAGGTTGCAACAGTCTAGCAGTGTTTTTCAAAGGATTGTTACCATACAAACTTTCACGCAATGTGTGAATCTTTGTATAAAAAAAACTGCCAAAACATTCAAGACTGGGTTCCAGAAAGCAAGTTGCAATTTCCACTGGATTCTATACATTCTACAGACCCAATTCTAATAAGCTTTTCAGGTTGTACTTGCTTTGAGAACACAGGACCAGCTATTAGTTTCCAAGATAGAAATATAGATCTCCAGATGTTTAAACTGACAATTCCCTTTAATCCACAAGAGCTCTGATTCACAGGAAAGTCAAAGAAAAAATGGAAGTTACTTTAACATACCTGCTGGCAATATACAACATTTATAGAGACTTGGAGACTTGTTAAAAAAAAAAAAGTATTAAATCACAAAAGCATTTTTGCTACCTATACAAATTTTTAATTTTTCTCATTATGGTAGCTTTTCAGCCATTACACTGAAACTACCTTGAAACACAGAACACTTGAAACTAAAGGCTGTAATGAAGTGATGCAAGTGGAAACCTTCCTAATTTGCAACAGGCAGAAAGCAAACTCCAAGTTAAAAAAAAAAAAAAAAATCTGTACAGCAGTGGCAATTAGTTGTCCATCTTATCGGAACAACCCATTTTAGCTACTTAACCCACAGAGACACCAGTCACTCAATTCACCAGTGTCTTGGGGAACAGGATGCTTTAAAAAGAGTATATAAAGCTTCAGTTTTTCCATTGTAAGTGGCATTTTTAAAGCAGCTGCTAATAATTATCATGCTGGTTCACTGAAAAAGGAAGCCCTGAGAGGAAGATTAAGACAGCAAAACAAGTGAAAATATTTTAAACCAACCACGCAAGACAAAACAGAAGGATCTCAAATACAGTGACTGTAACACAAACACAACATTAATTCATTATATTGTCACAAAGGTTAGGTGAATGTAGGGAGTGAAAAGTAATTCAGCAAATGCCAACAAGTCCCAGTTACCATTCCTGCAAATATGCAGCATTATTTTATTCGTTTAAACCATTAAACCCTCAAAAGAAGGAAAACCATCCTTATGCTGCTACAGGACTTTTTAAACATTCTAAGTTTGGGAGACATTCAATAATGGCAATTGTTGAATTAAAAACTGAAACTATTAAGCTATTGAAAAAAAATTTCTGAAAAAGCTGTTGACAGTGTTGATTATTATTCAATGTGAAGCTTTTGCTTACTGTTCCCCTTGTAACTGACCTACAGCCTTTAAGCTATGAAACTCGAGTCCTGCAGCTTAGGCAACAGCTGTCACAGTTATAGGTCTGAAATCTTAGGGACGAATCTCTGGTGCTGTTGTGCAACAACTGCATTCAGCTTACCTGCTCTACTGATGGCAGGCTCAGGGTGTCTACGTTAACAACTAAATACAGAACAACTCTGTAGAAATAAACAATTATTGAGGAGCCAGCATCCACACTATACATGGTTTTGTATGTTTTTTTCATACTAGCTCTTGTCCAGACTGAGACCATCCACTAACTACTGAGGTGCACGTTCTAGTTTTGTCTTCTTCCAAAAGGAAGAGACTCCATGTTCTCCCAGACCACACTGTGATGTGAACCAAAGTGAACCAAGGATGACTGGGAACACATTCCAAGAGCATACCCTTTATTAGAATTAAAATACTAATGCAAATTGTACTTGGACTTCAATAATTAGAATGTAATCGTGTTGTTCTACTGCCAGAGACTTAGGAGAGACATGTCTTGGTTCACAAATGAGCAAACAGACCAACCGCCTTCAAGTGAGGTGAGTTCCTCCAACATGCTTTCCCCTCCCAAGCACTGAACCTTACTACAGCTGACCAGAACTCATTAACACTTTGTTCTTTTATCGAGCACTCCTAAGCTGAACAGCAGTAGTTCCGAGAATATATCTCCATACGCAACAGCTTCTATACTGTCACTAAAGTCACAAACTCTACTTACTTAACAGTTGTGTTTTGAACAAGTCTCTCCCTCATAAGCGATGTATACACCCCAGTCTCCCTGGACTTGTCTGGAGTTTCCCTGAATTCAGTGTCTGTTAGAAACAGTTTGGTAAATTAAAAACTGTTGTGATAAGTGGCTTTTGTTTAAGACTGCACCCTTCAGCTTGTTGTGACATTGCAGCCTGAAAGCACACAGACAAAACACAAGCAATGTCCCAGGCATACAGAACCACTGCATCTCGAGTTACGTGCAAGACCTGGGGAAATAACTTTTTGTTTACAGACTCAGTGAAACTTTGTAGTTAAACTACATTGTTCTACATCTCCAAAAGTTAGGGCAGGATTCTTATTTACAGATTTATAAACTTCAGGTTACAAACTTGCTTTTTCAAAACAACAAATGATTTTTAGGCCCGACCATCTTCTACCCTATCAGCCGCGGCTTAATCACAAGCATCGCAAGCTCCTCCAAAACAGAGGAAGCTGCAAGTCAAGGTAATGACCTGGCAGTCACAAACTCGCCCCGTAAGGAGAGGCACCGCCAGCGCTGCCTTCCGCGACCCACCCCTCGGCCGCAGCCTGCTCGCTAAGGCTGGCGCTGCCAAAAACACAGCGGTCAGCGACCTCCCTGAGAGTTACCGATTTTCTCGCCCGTCAAGCCAGAGCGGCGGCTGCCCTCACAAACACGGCGAAGTTTCCAGCCGGCGGGTGCGGACCGAGGCCCGGCGAGCTGGGCCGCTGCCCCGGGCGGGCAGGGTCTGGCCGCGGAGGGGGCGGGCAGCCCCCCCGGCCGCCCGGAGGTAAGCAAGGCCCAGCCGCGGGCCGGCGCAGGCCTCGCCGAAGCCCACGAACGACCGCCGCGGTCCCGCTCCCAGCGCCCAGCTCCGGCAGGGCCTCGCAGCCACAGGCCGCGCCGCGCCGGGCCCGGCTCCCGCCGCCTCCGCCAACCCGGCCGCGGCCCCGGCTCCCCTCCCGGAGCCGCCCTCCCCACCTGCGGCGTGGGCTCCGCAGGCCGGCCGGGGGAATGACGGGTTGTACCGGCCACGGAGAGCGACAGGACCGAAACCGTCAGATGCGACGCGGCCGCCCCGGCTCTAAACCCCGGATCCGGGCCGTGCGCAGGCGCAGAGCGGCGGGGGGCGGCACCGCTCCCGCCCCGGCCCGGCGGCGGGGGGTGGGCCCGGCCCGGTGCCCCTCTGGGGCTCGTCCCGCCCTTCCCCTCGTTCCCCCGGTGAGGGGGAGGCTTGGGAATCGCACAGAAACCGCCGTCCCGGGCGTGAGGCGGTGCCCGGGGTGAGGGGCGCTCCCGCACCCCCCCGGAGTTAGGGGTGGAAGAAGGGAAAGGGAAAGCGGGGGTGCCGCGGCCCCTCTCCGCGGCCCGGGGGCGGGGGGCAGAGCGGGTTTGCTCCCCGAATCGCTCAGTCGTTCGCGTCGCTGCTCGCAGGTGTGTGCTCCTCCGCATAAGCTCTGCATTAATCCCAGGAGAAAAGCGGGGGTTTTTCCTTCCCCAACCGAGCCTGCTTCGTGGCAGCTTCGCACCCACCATCGTGATTTTCTGTTCTCTGATAGCTCCGGTGGAAGTAGCTCGGCACGCTGTGCTGTGGGGGAGGCGAAGTGCTGCTCGAGCAAGGAAAGCGACGGCAGGTCAGCCAAAAACAAAGCGTATGTAGGAAACGAGACACACTACCCCTGCACTTCGGTGTTATAACTCATGTCACATTATACGAGGTTGCTTGTGCAGCTGGTGTTTATTCAGGGAATGGGCAGGGAGATGTTCTCCAAGCGATCTGCGAGAGCAAAATGCAGTTCTACTGGAACTGAGTAACTGGTGATTATTGCTCTTCGTGTGCCTGCCTCTGGCCCGTGAAAACCACCATCCGGTGTCTATGGCAATGTGGGAGACCACTGCTCTGTGGGGATGTGGGGACACAACTCAGCATGGAGGGGGCTGGGGACCAGGGAACAGCTCTGCTGGGTTTGGGAGCCTTGTCCCGGCTGCAGGAATGAATCAGGCTGGGGGAAGCCCCGTGATTCGCACCACGTGTGGAAGTGCAAGGGCAAGCATAAGGGCAGTGCTTGAGGGAGAGGACAAGGAAGCGAGGTCCTTACGACAGCTTGGGGCTGATCACAGGGCTGGGGCTGCTCCCGGGGCCGGGGGGAGACGGGCTGCCAGCACCCGCCACCCAGGGCCGGTGCAGGTGTGGGGCCACAGCCCCCCAGCAGCGTGCCCGGCACCTGGCTGCAGGTCCAGGTCAGCACAGAAAATAACCTTCCCCCACCCAAACGTATCTGTACCAGGACGAATGCCAGCCCATTTATTCCCTTTTTCCTTGGAACTTCCTGGTGTTTTCTGGGAGTTTAAGAGCTAGCAATAGTCCCTAGCCTTCACCATCTTTACCAAGTGGAGTCCCGCATGCTGCTTGCTGGTGGTGTAGCCTAAGTAAAATCATATGGCTGGGTTGGTGCCTAGCATCAAAGGTACTGCACTGATCTTCTAAGGACAACCATTAATCATTATCTATATTGTGTAAGCCTGACACTTTGTATAAATAGTGTACGCCTTGCTAATGACAATAGCTTTGAAGAGGAGCTAAAGACTGATAAAAAAGGGAACATCTTGCCCCAAAAGGCACAAAAGGCTGGATAATTGCCTGAGAAGTATGTAGTCAACAAAAGTCAGCAGTAACTGGGGGAAAGGTAAGAGCAGCAGGGGGAGATCACCACCTCCGACTCAATTCAAGACTAAAAAGGCTTGCTGCCCCACGCCTGTAAGGATCATGCATGGTAATTTACATAGCAAGCAAGGATAATTTAAATATAACAAACCAATAGCAGAAAAAAATATAATCGTTAACCAACGAATGTAAATGTAGGTGGTTTCCTCTAGTCATGTAACAGGATAAATATGTTAAAGTTCTCTTGTGTGGTGTGCTAGCTTTGTGGAATTACCACCTAGCACCCATCTTTGCACAAACATGGAATAAGTAAGTATCTCGGCTCTCTGTGTAAGATTGGCTTATTGCACACCGAGTACCAAGCCCTGTTTGTGGAACAACAGTGGATTGATTCTACTCCTCTAGCCAGGCATGGTCAAGCTCCTGACAGTGTTGGCAAAAGCTGGCACGTCCTTTGTCCCTCTGGTAGACCTTCATCTGAGTCTTTGGCCTGTCACTGTTCAAGGTTCCTGAGGTGCCAAACAAAGCTATCTGTGCATCAGGATCGATCACAGTACTTTGTGGGTTCCTAACTATAAAATGGTGTGTGTACGATACCTTGAACAGATTCCTGGCATGCTCAGGACCTGTATGGAGTTCGTCTCTTGCTTTAGAGCGTCAGCAAATGCCAAATGATGTGAATTTGGTAGGCTCAGGCCTTGCTATTAATTTCACTGTCTATTAGCTTCTGGTTCTGGATCAACTTTATATTGATCCAAGGAGCACAAAGCACAGTGTAAAAAATAGTCATAGCTTTCAGCTAGACAAACAGAAAGTGAGAACACCAAGCCTTTGCCTTTTACATTGTTTTAAATAACTGGCAGCCAGATACATTGACCTGAATCGTGATGCAGCAGGGGACGTGCCAGAAAAGGTCTACCAAAAACGTTTTTGGAACAGCTTTGGGAGGTCACACTGAATTTTGGCAGCTCAAAGTTATTCTGTCTGACAAACTCTCTTAATACAAATTTATTCAAGAGAAATATTCCTAGCAAACTTTAATTAGCATGGAGATTTTGATCAAACAGAATTTTGCACCTTAGACTGCAGCAGTTTTTATCCAATACTTCCAGCCCCCAAACCAATTTATGAGGCCCCATGCAGGTAAGCATGTTACAGGTTACCGAAGATAGTGTTTCTTTTGTCATGATAGAAGCAACAGTTGAAATCAGCATGGGCTTTAGAAATAGTTTTCTGTTACTGTAATCAATAGGGCTGTTTTCTAGTAAAGAATTCTCACAACGTGCCATAGCCTTTCCACTGTAGCTTTGACACAGAGTGGTTTAGGTTTTTTTCTCTTTAAAGCTGTCATGATGGAAGGGAACATGTATCTGGATATCTGTTTGCTTTGTGTTATTTTCAATTAGAAACTACATGTTAAAGATACCATTTTAGAAAGAGAAATTGAAACACTGGAAGGATCTGGCTCATCCATTAGTGGCCTCAAGCTCATCCATAAATTCTCAAGCTCACCTTAAATATAACTTATTTGCTATAGACTAGAGTAATGTAATGAAAATTAGAATAAACAATAATATAAATGTAAAGAGTTGTACCCACTGTGCAGGCTTGAAAAGCATGAAAAATATGTGATAACAAGATGTATACATTAAAAGCACATTAGAAGTGCTTAAATATGTGCTGAGGTGCTTAAAAGTGTTACTAAAATGTGCCACTGAGCTTGGGCTAATCAAAATGGGGTTCCTGTGATTATGGAAAGGGTATTTTGCAGCAGGGAAATACAGACTGCACAACATCCAATATTGCTGGTTCATGAACTGAATAGTTTATGCCTAGATGAGGATTGCATGCTTAAACAGAGACACAGAAATTAATCAGCTCAGGAATGCATGGTAGAGGGGTGGTATGCGATACTAGTGCTAGTAGGAGGGCTATGAAATGGAAACACTTGGGTGGAATAAAAAGGGAAGCTGAGATCATCACCTTTCGACTGACTTATGGGACAGCTGCAAGTAATATGAGCTCTTAGTTCCCATAGATCACTAAACGGGCACGGTTTATACTTCCGACAGTACATCAGTAAAAAAATCCAAGTGATGAATCTGGTTTCAAGTCAAGTTTTGTGGCTGGGATATGATAAGTGAGTCAGGTCCTTGAAATGGCTGGGGTTAGCAATCCCTGTAACAGCCAGCTGTGCCAGCATTGGAGCCTCCCAGGTCCTGTGAGCACCTGCAAGAGACATAGACCTTAGAAGTACCAGCGAAGAACTATATTTACTTCTAATTTTCCCCCCATGATGAATAACAGTCCACTCACATTGGTTATCTGAAGAAACTTAAGACTGCCCACATTTATTTCATCCTTCAGAAATATAAACTACTATTTCTGTGAACATGGAAGGTAATGAAGCCTAGTGTCCTGTGGATTTGCATCTCAGTTGGCTGACTATTTCCCTGAACTATAATAATATTTTCTGTTATGACCACATATACCTAGCATCTTCTCCTGCGGAGCATTTTGGCAGCAACATGCTGGCTGCCATGTTCAGAAGTGGAAATTCATAGAAATTTGCTGACTGAATATAAAGTTACTAGGTGTTAACTCCTGAATGTTCAATCCCTTGTGTCGCCTCTGCCTGGTTATCTATTTTTATGAAATTTGTATAAACATTAATTTCTCTCAAACTCCACTGAAACTGGCTAACTCCTTCAAAATTATTGGAACCTGGGACACAGAGAGACAGGGTGATCACATAAACCTTGCTTTCGTATCTCCTACCAGGCTAAAAATGGATGGCATGTTGAGCGAGGCACAGAACCCATTTTTATCTGCAAGCTCTTTCCAAGTCCAGAAAAACAAACAGAAAACCACCACCACCAACAACAACAAAACCCCCAACAAAACCAAACAAAAATAGTGTGAAAACTACAATCCCCATCTAATCTAGCGTATAAGGTAGCAGTATGGGGGATTGTGTCCACTTACCTGTTGCTGATGGGAGAGAAGATACTTAAGAAATCCTGTAATGACTTTAGGTTCATCATGACACCACTGTGGCTTTTCTATATATGGAAAAGAAGACTTTGCAGATCTATTACAGTTGTCTGTGTGGATTACATTCCTCCTCCACCTTAAGCAGCCCAGGAAATAGTTATGCTGCCATGTTGTAAAGATCATGGTTTTTTCTAAATTTCTCCTTATCACTAGTTCATGAAAACACACAGAAGAAAATGTTGATTCCATATACCATGATTTTCTTCTTGAGAAACTTCAGAAAAGAGATACAAATTAACCTGATAAAA